AATTGAAAAATGATGTCTGAATCAAAGTTGTAGCAAGATAAGTTAGATTTTCAATGCATTTTGAATCGTCTCAATCGGACATTGGAATACAAAGTTATGATAAAAACACTGAAAGAAGGTGCAGATACCTGTTTAAAACAAGAAATTCCGTTACATAGTCCGTTAAAACAACAAATTTCATTAGTTTTTCCGTTAAAACAACAAATTTCGTTAGTTTTTCCGTTAAAAACAAGAAATTCCGTTACATAGCTACTTTTAATATATAGAAGATATATATATAATGTTGTTTGTGTTGTAACACGGTAACATTAAAAAATATGTTCAAATGAATACAGAGACATAAATTCCATATTATCGAATCCATCGTCATGATGACAAATAAATTATTCAAATTTTGCGCCTCGTGGCTCTTGCTTCATAATAATTGTTTGACGGATATCCACGTGTGTAAATAAATGGTTGATTTGGTTAACTAGTTTTGGAATAAACCACTAAAGTTTAGAGAAACATTTCACATCTCGTCTAAATTATTGAATCGCTTTTCCCAAAATTAATCTCAGTGCATGACATGCTTTGGCATTGATGGGACACAAAATAAACTGTGTACATAGACCTTATTTTGTCACAATCATTGCAATTTCTTTTACTGTTATCCGCAATTATTCATCATTTTATTAAATTTTATTTTTTGAACAAATCAACAGTTGTAACTTTTTTTTTTTTTGACAGCGCAAGAGGTTATTTTTATTCATAGTTACAATAATATTTTTGATGCGGCAGGAATTCAGGGACGTTAAATGGATTGAGTCGAGCCACACTACTTGAGTCACTGCCTGGCCCACCTAGTGAGCTAGTGCGCTCACGAATAAGGCAAGCCATGCACGAGCTAACTCGTTTCATAAAATTTCAGCTTAGCTCGCAAACAACTTGGGGTCCATTTTTTTGTAAAAACTTAAAATTGCATTTTCGCTCCTCGAAGTATAATGAAAACATGAATTATAAGAAAATAATGAATGTAAAAAATTCTATTTTACCAAAAAAATTATAAAGATGTAAAAACGCTCCTCTTTATTAGGATTTGGAAAACTGTTTGATAATAAGGACTTATTTGTTACATATGAAATTGTTTCCAAAGGTGTCGTGATTATGGGAAACAACGCATCTTGTCGGATTATTGGAATTAGTACAGTCAGATTGAAGCTTGTGGATGGGACAATTAGAACTCTTAGCCAAATTCGACATGTTCCAGATTTGAAGAAAAATCTCATCTCGTTGTCTATCCTTGATTCAAAAGGTTATGAGTTCTTTGGTGGAGGTGGAGTTTTAAAAATTTGTAAGGATGCCCAACTTGTATTGGAGGGACATAAAATGTCCCAATTATACATCTTGCAGTGTCGTGCAGAATTTAGAAGAGTCAATCGGCACAAGTTCAGGATCGTGGTGGACATTCAGTTTGGTACAATACATTTAGGAGCTCATAAAGGGTCGAATTTGAATAATACAATTCAGTAAATTTCAGGAGATATGGATAATGCCGCTTTGCCACCATCACCTACGGCGCCATTGTATTCAATTATTAGGGACGGACACAATGGAAAAGGGTATGTGGATACTGATTTTGTTGAACATGTTTTAAGTGGAGTACAAGGTGTACAATCTAGTAAGGGGTTTTTTTTTAAAAAGTATTTGGTTTTGATTCTGCTTTGGGGTGTGTTACAGCCCATTTTGATTAATTTAAAAAAAGGACTTATTTGTTACATATGAAACTGTTTCTAAAGGTGTCGTGATTATGGGAAACAACGCATCTTGTCGGATTGTTGGAATTAGTACAGTCAGATTGAAGCTTGTGGATGGGACAAGTAGAACACTTAGCCAAATTCGACATGTTCCAAATTTGAAGAAAAATCTCATCTCGTTGTCTATCCTTAATTCAAAAGGTTATGAGTTCTTTGGTGGAGGTGGAGTTTTGAAAATTTGTAAGGATGCCCAACTTGTATTGGAGGAACATAAAATGTCCCAATTATACATCTTGCAGGGTCGTGCAGAATTTAGAAGAGTCAATCAGCACAAGTTCAGGATCGTGGTGAACATTCAGTTTGGTACAATACATTTAGGAGCTCATAAAGGGTCGGATTTGAATAATACAATTCAGTAAATTTCAGGAGATATGGATAATGCCGCTTTACCACCATCACCTATGGCGCCATTGTATTCAATTACTAGGGACGGACACAATGGAAAAGGGTATGTGGATACTGATTTTGTTGAACATGCTTTAAGTGGAGTATAAGGTGTACAATCTAGTAAGGGGTTTTCTTTAAAAGTATTTGGGTTTGATTCTGCTTTGGGGTGTGTTACAGCCCATTTTGATTAATTTAAAAGCATTGTGATTTTTTTGGGAATCTGAGATAATTTTGCAAAGCAGTGCTTGGATTCATTGGAAGATGTAGAATATTGTGTTTTATTGGAAAAATTAATTTTTTGGTTATTGTTGAAAAAATCAGTTCATTGCTTGGTGGAATTCGTGTCAAAGTGGAAATTGTTAGAATTTAGGTGTGACTCGAATTCCTTATTGAAATAATTAAAGAAATCTAATTGAAGTGCACATTAAGAAGAATTCAGTTTGAAATGCTATTGGAGTCTTATGTCAAATTAAAATTTTATTTTGAAAACCCATTGGAGTTGTAATTTGTTTTAGACTTGATTTTTTGGTATCCTACTTCATCAACAACTTTACTGGAGGGTTTGGACATACCCTACATGTTCCCTATAAATACTGATTCTTCTATACAATTTTATAAGTGTGAGAAAATAGATTACTAAAATTATAGGATCTATTGTAATTTTTCTCTCGTCTCCATTATTTTTGAGTCAATAAAATCTCTTAATCATATTCTTGTCTTTATTTTCTTTTATTTGATCATATTCTTCATTATTATTTCATATATAATTTCAACATCTCAATTCGGTGATTTGTTTCACAATAATTGGTATCAACGTTATTCTGGTATGTTGTTTGTTTGATAACAAGATGTATGGACATGGACATTAACTCCACATAAGCCTATTTCGGTTCATATTTATAAATACTCAAATCATTTTTTATATTCACATTTTGAAGAACTCACAAATATATACTACAATACTATTACTATATATTTATCAATCACTTATTTTTATTTATTTAAAATTTAAACCGTCTATTAACAATTTCCAAACAATCCTAAAAGAGTAATGGGAACAATATTAGTACATTATTCAGTTGTCTATTTATAATAAAGAAATTGTTGATGGGACAAAGCTTATGGGATAACTGTGGTACATATTGGTCTTACTTTTTGTGTCGAATTTTGTGATGTCGGCAAGGAACCTAGTTTCTATACCATTTATAGTGTCCAATGTTGGACTGCAACTTGTGGAATATGGTAAACTACTTTATAGACTAAAGAAGTGGTACTGGATCATTCAGGATAATTTTGTAAATAAGAATAATAATTTAAATAAATTATTTTACTTTTTTTCTTAATCGTGTCCAATATTGTATAATCTAACTTATCAAACATGACAATTTCATATATAATGCAATAGTTTTTGGTACGAAAGAAAT